TAAAAAAAAATGTGTTCAAATCTGGTAAATAACAGGTTTTGGTACCACTAAATGCTTGTTTCAATGAGCGGCACATAAAAGCAAAATCTAAGGTACAATGTACCTTCCAAGTTAAGAGGTACATCTGATTTTGCCTCTGAAATCAGAGGTACATTGTGCCTTTCATTTTTAAAGGTACGTTGTGCCCTTAAAATTCAGAGGCACAAATGATTCAAATGTGCCTCTGAAATCAGAGGTACAGTTTTTAGAGTGTATAGATAGATAGCACTCCTTTTTGCAGATATAATGGCATGAGCTGAATAATATTTTTTAAAAATATTTTAATAACTTGTTTTCTTCTCTTTTCATTTATCTTTATTATATTATTTTCCATGCTTTCTCTAAATTTTAACAAATATTATATATATAGATTAATAAACATAAAGCAAAAACATTATCAAAAACTTTAAATGGCCATGATAAAATAACAAGCTCCTGAGAGCACTTTCCTTGGTTATGTTAGATATTCTTTGTTATACACTATAAAAATGATTTATGTAGAATTTCCAATATATTTAATACTGAGTTGCACATTCTGTTTTTAAAATTACTTTATTCCATTATGTAAAAAAGAATAATTTTATTTCAAAATTATAATTAGTTAAACAATAATTTAAAAAAGCTATTTTTTAGATTTAGGTAAAAGTTACTTATAAAAACATATTCAACGAAACATTAACAAGATTAATATTGTTATATTATTAATCATACTGAGAAAACGTTCATTCATAATACTTAATTAGTTGAAAGAACATTCATAATACTTAATTAGTGATTGGTTCCGTTAAAATTTTTATTAAAATTTGTTACATAGTTTAGTGTTTCTTTAATAAAATAATTAAAAAATTTATTCCAATAATTTTGGAATGCAAATACAATAGGTATTGCAGCAAAACATTTTTGTCAGAAGTAGATAATTATGTGGTCCCTTTATTAATAGTATTTAATAAATCTTAGATTATATATACTTTCATTTTAAATTCTTTTTAAATCAAATCATTAAGAGATGAATTAAAGTTCATTGGAATGACAAATCTGAATTAACACAATATATTTTACTGAATTTCCTAAATGTTAAAAAAGTGAAAAACCCTTCGTTTCACTCTTTTTTTAAAATCATGTCTTTAAATATTATTCAGTTTTTCAATAAAATAATTTAAGAGCACTAAAAATTGTATAAATAATATAGTAGAGAGTGCTAAAAAAAGGACCACCCTGATTAACTTTTGATCTAAGGATCAATTATTCATGTTCCAGGACTAAATCTTAATGGTTCACGGGGGTGAATTTAATTAGGTTAATTAGTGCAGTCGATAATGATATTTTAAGTTATGAAATCAGATACAATAAAGTACTTTTTTATCATTGGACAAAAATTTGATTTGAAAGGGCGGAAAATTAAACCTAAAATCGACGTCCAGCTTAGTGTAAGCATATGTGGATCTGCAAGTACTTCATCAAAAATGTAAAATCGTTGGTGCTTTCATATGCTAAGGATTGGCGGTAAGCTAAAATGTCTAGCTCATAGTAAGCACGTGTGGATCTGCATCAAAAATGTAAAATCATTGGTGCTTTCATATGCTACGGATTGACGGTAAGCTAAAATGTATTGTAATTGAATGAATTGTGGAAAACTTTTTAAAAATGCTACACGCCCTGAATCAATATTCTAAAACGAGGTTTTTAACTCTAACTGGTCCAATACCATAGCTGCCAACTTAATAAAATATTAAGCACACGAAACATCATGATAAGCCAATCAGGGGTACTTGTGATTCAAACTGAAAAATCCTGAAAATTTTATGCACAAAAAATCAATACCAATTTATAAACCACACATTTCATAATAAACATAATTTTTTTAACTAAATATCTTTAATTAAATCACTTACTGATGAAGAATATCACAACTTTGTTGTAACAAATTCAAGAAAAAACTTACTTCATTCAAGAAACGAATTGCAAAATAAGATTTTGAAAATGAATCATGATGCACTATCGTGAATACGAATCGTGTGAATACAAATCACAATATTAATATGAAAATCAATGTTCGATATTACAACTGTGTCAATACGAATCACAATATTAGATTTTAAAAATGCGTAAATACAAATAGCAATATCGGATTTTTAAATTTCAGGAATAGAAATAGTAATGTATGATTTTTTAATAGTATGAATAAGAATCGTGATATTAGCAGATTAGAGCTCAGTTCCAAATATTTAAAATGGCGAATATCCACCAAACCAAAAGAATAAAATTGGCAGAAAAATCATAGATATGTAAACCTCTTAACTGGATTTTGCAAAATGTAGTCGAATTATAAGTTTTTGATTCTCGGAAGTTCGTGAACCAATGGTCTTGAGATGGGCGGAATTCTACTATATTTGCGGAAGAATCCCATGCACTGCTTCTAGATTTCAGACCCGCAGTGGGTTGAAAGAAAATCAATACAAGGAGTGAAAAGGCACTAAAATACTGAAAAATAAGACCTAAAAATCGTATTTACTGTACGATCTAATCGTAACAGTTGGTTGATCTAATCGTAACAGGTAATTTTGATACTCAAAAATGATTTTATTATCTCTTAATAATACAAGAAAATAAATGTTCTCTCTGTCAGAAAAAAAAATAATATTTGGTTTCATTTTGCATACATAAATCTGCTAGTATGCAATATAAATAGTTCTACAGAGATTTTGATTATTCTGCAAGTCATAGTTTTGAGGACATTGTTTTAAGGCACTTCATAACAATGAAAAAAAAGTGTTCATTTTTTTTAATGAAAATTCTTTCGAAATCAAATGTTTGGAAAAGTTTGATCTTTTGGTATTTTACTAAAATTCAACTAGTGCTCAAATATACTATGGAACATTAAAATATTTGTCAGGTTTAGAAAATTTAAATATTTGTATAACAATAGAAAATAAATTTTAAAACAAATGTTTACCTCTTTTACACTATTGTCATTTCTTTGCTTTAGAAGGGATGATTCCTTCTCTAAGGAAGCATTTTCTTTCTTTAAACAATCCACTTCCTTCATATACATTTCAATTTCCGACGCTTGTGTTGTAACTGATTGCGTTTCAGTTTGCAGCTTCAGCTGCAGTGAATATTTTTCTTGCTTTAAAACCTTAATAAAAGTAAATAAGTTAAATACCAATTTAAAATTTTTTTAAAAATATATTTAAAAAAAAAAAACATTTTAAAATATATTGCACAAAAGGATATGGACACATTTCTGTATTGTTATTGTATTAACCACAACCGCAGGGGTTTTACAGCTTTTTATTGTATACCTATTTTGCAAAAATGTAGACATAATTAGTAAAAATTAAAAAATAAGCAAAAAAATAAGGTAAAATAAAAAAATATTTTCAAAAATTGTCACCTCAAATAAAAATCATTTATGACAGGTAAATTTCTATACATATTTTTCCCCCTATTCAAAAACAATTATGCTATTGTAAAATTTTGGGTTTAAAATTGTATCCAAATTTAAAAATGCATAAAAATCATTGTCCATGGTTGATTTCAACTTGCATTTCATAAAATGCATTTAACAATAAATGTTATTTTCATTATGAGGATATTTTATGCGGGGTCGTACAGAAAAAAGCTTAACCGAAAAAAAAATGCTTTATTGTAAAATAAAGCTCTGTTAGAATAAATTTAGAAAAATGCTTAAGAAAATAGGCCGAATTACAACTTCCTGCAAAGTTTACAGATGAAGGACCTTGTTGTTTAATTTTAAAAAACTCCGCAAAAAAAAAAAGCTCGGTATAACATGTTATAAGCAACTGGTTTGGCTTACCACACTATCTGACCAAACATGTGCTTCCTATTCTTAGCAGACAGCTGCCAGAAAAACTCTTTTTTTCATAAATTGAAACAAGAACAGGGTTTGCATGGTACTAGTGCCTTTTCTTCCAATTCAATTAACAGAACGGTTTACGCTCCTTTTCTCCCACCTCAATTCGGGATCTTGGCATGTTCTCAGCCTGGCATGGAGAGGAAAGGGGCTCTTCTCTCAAACCGGGTGGGAAGCGAGTTCTAGCAATCCGAGGGAGGATTCCATTGCAAGTCAAAATGCTTAATTAACCCGGGATTTATCCTTTTTCAAGGGGTGCTAAAACAAAATTTTAAGGGACGAGGAGGAGAATCTTAGAACATGCTTTATTAAAAGTATTTTGCCAAAACTACAGTTTTTCCAAAAGTTGAACTTCTGAAAATACAGCTAAACGGCAGTAAATTTGCCCTGAACAGACCCCATAACCATCAAATGGAAGAAACAGAATAACTTTCAAATTTAAAAAAAAAACAAACAAAAAACATATAGAGGTTTGCCTGGAGTGTCGCTTAATATTATACTCTTAAAGTTGGTCTCCTTCTGTGATGATTTTTTAAAAGTGTCTCACCAGCTGCTGCCTGGAAGTTGTCAAGATTTAGTCATTTTATTCCACTACAGACCCAGATACGGAAATCTTCTCAATAAAAATGTGATATTTCCTCTTAAAACTGATGTTTATAAAAGTGGTTTTATAAAGATCAAAGAGAAAAGTGGTTTTATAGTGGATTAAGTGATGTTTATAAAAATTATTTTCAATCAAAAATAAAACATTACTTAATTGACAGAGCATAAATAGAAATAGCTGTGGAAAGATTTCTGTATTGTGATCTAGAGCAAAATAATTGCCAAGTTTTGGCAATTTAATTTCAAATATATATGTTATGATTATTTTATAATTCTAATTTAACAAAATAAAGTAAAATTTAATTTATTATTATTTATTTTAAATATGCTTTCTTAAATGAAAAGATATATAAATACTTTTATATTTGAATAAATAAAAAATATACGAGAAAAAAAAATAATCTAAGGGTCCCAAAAATTTGAAAGGGGCCTAGGGGGCTGATCAGGACCCTGGTTGAAAGAATGTGACTTAACGTTTATCTTCGATTCACAAATTACGAGTAATTTTTTCACAATTTTACAAAAACGGACCTTTCACAAAATGTCTGGACAGACCCCTGATATCTGTAAATAGAAAAAGCGTAAAAATTTTGTAACCTCTATTTGACTCAGAGCTTCAGCTTTTAGATCGAGAAGTTGTTGCCCGTATGTAGCAGCCATATTCAACTCTTTATCCCTTGCTTTAAGTTTCTTCTTGAGCGATAAAATGGTTTCAGCATCATTATCCTTTATTTTGAAAGAAAAATCATATACAATGTTAGTAAATTTTAATATAAATATTCTAGCAAAAAGCAATATGTGACAAAGGCAAGCTCACCTTTTCAGTCATGTTGAAAAGTGTATAAATTTCATATGATGTTAAACACCTTTAAATAATTATTAAAATAATAATTTTCTCTTTTAAAAAAAATTACGATTTCTAATACTAGCCGTTCCCTGTTCACTTAGCCCGCCGGGTTTTGGTTGGTTTGGAAATGAAAATGAAAGTTGAAGTTACGGTGATCTTTAAGTCAATGGACGGCTTAAGTGCCATTTTTACTCTATACAGTTTACGCTTCTCCATTTGCTGATTAGTTAGAAGCATTTTTTCGCGAAAAACAAACTAATCTGGTTCTCCTTTTTGCTTGATGGCGATCCGTGGTGCGTGCATCTGTATGAAGCTAAACGCAATACTTATAGGAGTTACTTGTAGAAATTACCATTTGTATCGATGATCAGGGTCCGACTTATCCTAATTAGGACCGCCCTTCTGCTTCACTTCTTCAGTAATGAAAAACCGAACTTTATAAAGGTATTCAAATTTTTACCTCTTTATTCATATATAGCAGTACCGCAGTGGACTGAGCGTTAAGATACGGTTCCCAGTAGATCACCGAAGCTAAGCATCACTGGATGCGGTCAGTGTGCGGGTGGGTGACCACTTGGATCAAGGGACCGAGGGTGTGCAGTATTGGTTCTCGTTAAACTGTTCTACTGTAAAGTGCTAAACTTCGCATGCAGCTCGTCGGGCTACCGAAGTAGGGGTGCCATCCCCTCTGCAGAGGATCAAAATTGTGATGGCGCATCTTCGGATCATCCGAAACATCCATATGGATGTTTCCCAAACCGTCACCAATAGCCCATTGTGCAGCTTTAGTGCGACGTAAATGAACTACAACAACAACATATATAGCAAGAAAATTGAAATCTTCGTCTAAAATCGTAAAAAAGCTATTAAGTCCCTTCCCCCTCCAATGGTCAGACGAAATATCGTTCCGTCCATTTTATTGATTTTCTGACAATTCTATGTCCATCATGCCGAACGCAGTTTTCTAATAGTTAACTATGTCACCTAGCTGCAAAAAATTTATATCCTTGCTAACATTAGGGCGGAATTCATCTAAATTTTTGCAATTACGATGGCTAAATTAAGCCAAACAGAAGCCTGTATTTTGGTAAACATATCCCATTTTGCAATATGTAAAAATACAGTCTTTTGATTGGCCAAATTTGTCCATCGTAATTGCGAAATTTACCTAAATTCCGCACTAGAAAGCCATGGATTTACGAAAAATAGATTTTTTGTGTTCATACGATAGATTACCCGAATGAAAAAAATCGAGGTATAAATGAGGTATATTTTAAAGGTATAAAGGAGGTTGTTATTTAAATACGTCGTTAGGTTGAAAAGGGTGCAAATGAATACTTCAAAATCAACCTCAAATATATCTTAAATATACCTCCAGAAGTATATATGAAGAGGTTAATATGAGTCAACTTGAGGTGCTTAATTTTACATCTGTGGAGAGGTAGATATTAACCTTAGGTTATTACTTATCAACCTGAAGTATATTTTTTTGCACTTGTGGAAGTATTTATTCAACAACCTAAGGTGTTTCATTTAACACTTCAGGTTATTATAAATCTACCTCAGGTGTATTTTTTGACAGTTGGAAGGGTAATTTTTTACTAACGAGAAGTGTCTTATGTTCGACTTCAGGTATCTAATTTTATGCTTGCAGAGGTATATGTTTATCAACCTATGGTGTGTCGTTTCACTCTTCAGGTAATTATAAATCCACCTCAGGTGTATTTTTTAACAGTTGGAAAGGTAATATTTTAGTAACGTGAGGTGTATTATGTTCGACCTCAGGTATCATCATACTATTGATCAAATATTTTATCTATGATAATTTATCGACGTTCGGCAGATTGATCACTTTTGAACAACTAACTGGAATAATCAAATTTTAACTAATGCTTTGACTTGAACGGGCAATGAAAATTTCAGTCATTTCCTGACATCTAAAAGCGAAAATCGTGTCTGTAAAAATGGTTTTTACGTCTGGGGAGAAGCATTAATCTTATGTTTCAACAAATCTACTAAGTTGCATAGACGAGTGGAACAACTATAACAAAAGTCATTATTTAAAAAAAGGCCTTTCTGAAAATTAATCTGAGATAAATTTCTAAATTTAGGAATATGTATTTGAACTTTTTAGATAGAAAAAAATTCCACTAAAATCTCAGTTCTTAATGACTTAGAATTCCTAATTTTTTTTAAAAAAAAAATAACAGTTTTTTTCCTTAACTTCACATGCCAACTACTACTCTCTTTGAAAATTATTTCACAGAGCAATAGGCACTTAATAACAAAAGCTTTCAGAATTGTCACTAATTTTGCCAACATTTCAAATGCCTCTTCATGAAGGAGCTAAAGGCGTTGAATATGAACTTTAAAATCATTGATATGTAATGGTGTGCAAAGGGAAAATATCGACTGCATATTTTCTCTTTGCATCGAAAAGGGAAAAGAAAAAAAAAGACTTAAAATTTTGTTCGAAATTTAAATAAAAACATGTTTAACATATTGCATGTTTAAATAAATAAAACATATTGCATGTTTTTTTTCCTGGACTTCTATACAAAACCATCGGGGTACTGAGGGAGTCAATTTAAGCATTTGCTTCTCCCTCAATTAGAAATGGTTTTGTTTTTATGGCTACCGGGCCGGTACCCCCTGAAGACGTCGGCTTCGGTGGTCATATTTTCATTTTCATTTCCTTCATTTTCTTTTTCTTTATTGCTACTTTTTTTCTGAAATTTCTGCTGCTTTTTAGCTCATTTTTTTCAAAAAAGTTTTTCCTATTTAGAATTAAAAATATTTGTGTTTTCTTTTAGTAAATAAAAACACCTTACTTCCTCTTCAGAAACAGGAGAATATGATTGCAAAAAAGAAAAGGAAAAAAAAATTGTCACGTCAATGCTATGACGTTAGACTCAAGACTTTCGTAAGGGTTTGATTGCTCTTTGTTTAGGATAGACGGTAAATATCTATAGTTAGTATTATTTCTAATTTTAAAAATAAAATAAGCTAGTTTTTTCATGCGATTAAATTTTCGATTTAATAGTAATTGCTATAACAAATATAATTTTTTAAGCTCATACAATTAAAAAAAGCAAGATAAAAAAAAAAATTGTTTCTAAAATTTTAAGTTTTAGTACTTGAACTTATACTAAATGCAATATATTGAAATATGAATTTTATGCCGTACCTACGTTCTTCATAATATTACTGTATTTTTACCAAAACACTTATGTAATGAATTTTGTAAACTAAACACTAAATATTGTTTTATAACATGTTTGGTACATTGAAATTTAGTAAATATGTATATCATGAGAGCATGGCATAAGAAACATTTATTCGGTTAAATTTGCTTTTCAGTTATGTATATTTTACTAAATGTGTGGTTATAAGAACTATAATTTCGAAAGCCAGAATTTTCAGTAAATTGTTACCATATGAACAGAAAAATTACCAAATGAATGGTTTAAATACCGTATATTTTAGTTTTTAACCAGAAGTAGGTTTTATTTATTTATCTATTTTTTAAATCTGAAAGTTGCTAAACTATACAGTACACTAATTTACCAGGATTTTTTTTCTCCATGCAGAAACAGCTCTAGGACTGTGAATTTAACTGCCGGATATAAAACTAAATTCAAGATTATTAATTATAAAAAAATTCATTCCTCTTATTTAAGTAAGAGATAAAATAAACACTTAGTGTTCAGTGTTTTAAATCTATTTTCGGAATACTTTTATTGGTTAACACGCTTGCAATTGATTTTATATACTTTATAGAGCGAGGTTCATTCAAAGATGGATGAAAGTTTAGGGTTCCACAGAAGAAAAAAAAATTGGAAACAGCTGGTTTATTAGATGAAAGCTTTGTTATCTAAGGTAGAATAGCAACAACTCAGTATCATTGCGAGCGAATTAATTCTCTTATTTCTCAAGTCTAGAATGACTCTTCAACACATGCCAACTCTATCCAACTACTTGAAAAAAAGTAACGCCTACTTTCTTCAGCGCCTCCTTTTTTTTCGTATTTTTTTTTAAGTAATCTAAAAATAGTTAATATCAATTTATGGCATCTACACTGTTCACAAAAATATGAGCACATGGTATATAAATTGTATGTATGCCTACTCCCCTAATTCCTTTGTAATTTTAATTTCTAACAAGGTACAATAGCAGCAAATTTTTCGAATCTGATTGATAGATATGCGTACTATATATGAATATAATTTGCAGAAAATTAGAATTTGTATTTTGAATATTTATAAAATTGAATTTTTGAAATTTGTAGTGGCATTTTTGATAAATATTTATTTAATGAGAAAATTGATAACTCTTATTGGTTGGATTAAATCTAACCAATTAAACCTACATAAATCCGATTTATGTAGGTTTATCTTTTTGAGAATGTACTTCTTAATGGTCTGGATTTTTACAAACAAATTATTGGAATTCCACAAGGTAAATTAATTTTCTGGTGATTTTGTTAATATTTTTTAAAATTTTTTTGAAGCTAAATATTTTGAGTTTAATGATTTTAATGCTTTTAGATACATTTTTTGATTTTGATCAGATGATTTTGTTTAATTGTGATAATTATGATTTTATTTTTAGTATTTATCCTAAAGATTTGGTTTTGAAAAAAAACTAATGGGAATTGCTTAAATGTTGAATATTTAGATTTTAAAATTGATATTGTTGATAAAATAATTAAAATTGGTATTTTTGATAAACGAAAGGCTTTTAAATGTAAAGTTTTCTTTTTCTGTAACTTTAAAACTAATTTGTGCAATAAAATTTTCAAAAATTTAGTTTTTTCTCAATTGTTTAGAGTTAAGAAAATTTGCAATAACGCTGAATGTTTTCAGAAGGCTGCGAATAATTTTTTGAGCAATTTGAGAAATAATGAATTTCCTTATAATTATTATAATGTTAAATTTTTGATTAGGAAAATGATTGAGGAATATTAGTTTATTATTTCTTTTAACAGGGCAAAATTAAAGTCTTGACTGAGCAGCTCCAGTTGAGCATTATATTAATCTGTCCCGCAATCTTTACCTTCCCTATCCTTTTTTTCTTCCTACTGCGCATTTTAATCGAGGGCGTTGTTTTCTTTTATTTCAAATGTTTCTTTTA